TCTGTCTGTCTCCTCCCACCCCCCTCCCCTGTCGATCGGTTGGTGTCTCTCTCCTCCTTCCCCCGTTGGAGTCTCTTTCTTCATCCACCCCCTTCCCAGTGGTCGGTCGGTGTCTCTCTCCTCCCCCCTGTCGGTCAGTGTCTCCCTCCAGCTCCCCAACGGACCAATCACCTCCCCCCCGGGTGTCTGATAGAAAAAAAAGGTACCTTTCCCCTCCAGCACCTGTGCTTTGCTGCTGCAGGGTTAAAGAAAGCTCCACTTCCTGAAAAAAAAATGCTTTCTGCGCTCAGGAAGGTACCAAGTGCATGGAGCGGCCCGCGACCTTAACAATGACACTGCACATATTAAACGACAATTACAAAAATCTTGCTTGGAGCCCGGGCCTCCCCAGCTGCCTGGGCCCCTCACACAAGTACTGGCTGTACCCCCCCATGGTAGCCCTGCCTGGGGATTCGGATCGCGATCTCCCCCCATTCACTTCCGTGACCCCACACATTAAGTAGCCCGGGTCTACAATGTCTTTATATGATGGCGTATTACCAGAACCTTCACTGAAGACACCAGAAAGCCACGATTAGGTTGAGTGTTTCCATTCCTTTGGCCATATATTGTATCTTGGATTCTGTTTAGCGCTATATTACAAGATCTTAAATGTCTGAATGTTTTGCTCTTCTCGTGTTCTGAGCATTTTCCCAGCAGCTCCCCCTCGGCGTAGTCATTTTATTTACTTTTTAGGATCTTTCAGATTTCGTCACATGGCCTTGAATTAACTTAACATTCCACTAACAAACCACAACTGTAGCCTGTAAATGTTCTAATGCTCGTTAGCTGTTTGTGAGGGATTGTCGGTGGGAGGCCACGTAGTGATAAGATTTCATTGCTCACTTCTTTTGATGTGCAAAACTCACAAATTAGTGGAGAATTGTAGGAAAGACACGCCGGTCAGCCATACGTACAGTATAAGAGTAACTTGTGTCTGCTTTTTGTTTTTTGTAGTGTGATTTGGAGGAAAGTATTAGTAATACTGCTTATTTTTGAGAGCCTTTAAAGGGACCTTAAAGTATATCTCGACCCAAGAACATAAATGTAATTTATTGCGGCGTATGAGTCATTGGATGTGGTGGCTGCATTGGTTTTTTTTTTTTGTTTTTTTTGTTTTTTTAGACCTTTAGATCTTTTGACTTCAGACAGACCTGAATCCAGGGCATGAGAAAACAGACTAACCTGTTGATCAAGCACTGGCTGAATGTCCAGCATTTCAGTGAGGCAGGCCTGTTTGAGGCAGGTGTGCACAGCAAAGACCTGAGCTGCAATGCTGGGTAATATCCAGCAGATGGCGAAGGCTGAGTGTTACAATTGCGAATGTATCCTAACCATACACAGTAAACTAAACCGAATATGAAGTCCGATAACAGGCTTCAAAAGGTGCCAAAGAACGCCTGAATGGTAGCAGCCCATCTAGCCAGAGCTCTGTGAAAGACCCAAACCTCTGTGTGAAAGACCCAAACCTCTGGAGAAAGGGGGAGGGGGCAAAATAGGCATGCCCCCCCGTCTTTCACAAGGTTCCTGATTCACAGGTATAATGCGTTTATAACAGTATTTTGTATTTTTGAGTATGGCTAATGCAGGTTTACTTTTAAAGCTGAGTGGTAAGAATAAGCAAGTGCCCCAGCTTAAGTCTTCATCCTTTTAGCCTTTAATCGATCAGGAAACCCATCTAACTAACTGGCAGGACTTCCTTTTGAGGAGACTGGTCATTCAAGCCACCTAGCTGTGCACTAGATGACCGTTCTTAATGCCCCCTGCCCCCAACTCAGCAGGGTCCAGCTACTTCACATAGGGTGCCCCGCCAACTCTGCCTCAAGGATCAGGATGGCAGGAGATGATGTCATCTGTTTTTTGTCAATGGTTTTTGTGGACAGGAGAGAGGCAACTAGGGTAGTGATGGTGGGAGGTGGTGATGGTAGTGGGAGGTGGTGGTGATGAAGCTGGGAGTTGGTGATGGTGGTGGCAGTTGGTGGTGGATGGTGGGAGGTGGAAGTGATGGTGGGAGGTGGTGGTGGTACTGGGAGGTGGGGCTTACACTAAAAATGTAGGTTTGCTTAGAGATGGGCTCTTTATCTTCCAGCTGGTCTCCAGTCTATGCACAAACACTTATTTGACTCCCCACTGTTGTCATGCAATACACATTTGGCGTGATCAGATTTAATGAACTACAACATTCACATTCTCTTCTCCATCATAAAAGTCACAACTGTTACATTGACATCATCCGAGGTCATTCATTCATCTGTCGCTGTTTTCTTATAGGAATGACTACAGAAGGAGTGTACAGGACGGTGGGGAGTAACATCCAAGTGCAGAAGTTGCTGAATGCATTTTTCGGTAAGGTCCTCATGGCCCCCTGCCAGGAGCATAGTTCCAACATTTCGTCATAAGCACTAAATGAAGTTCTTATGCGTAACGTAATATTTTACGCTGCACCCTCATAGACTTGACAGCTTGACCTTTAACATTCTGTTGCTGCTTCTCTAGATCCCAAATGTCCTGGAAATATCGACCTGCAGAGCAGTGACTGCGACATCAAGACCGTTACTAGCGCTTTAAAGTTCTATCTCAGGTATATTTATAAGATTCAGCATTCCTTCTCTCAATACATCAGATCCATTCTAATCTTTCTACTCATCTTCCACAAATGATCAGATGTCTCATCAGAAGACCTCACACTGTCACAATCTCAGTAGTACCTCTTCAAAATAAATAGGGATTGGCAATCTCTTGATCAAATGTCCCGGTATCACCATAGAACAGCCTCGTCCACATTAAACGCCACAATCGGCAATAAACAGTCCCTCTGGTAAAATTTGGCCGCAGTAGACTAGGATCCGCACTGCTTTCAAACAGTGTTCTTGTATAGATGAGGAACATTCTCATCCATGGTAAAGGGAACTTAGCCACAATAAGAGATAATCAGTACCACTGATGATGATTGGCCAGTGTGCAATTTCCCTACCCGGGGTTAGTTATCTATCCACTGTTCCTCACAAACCTCCCCGTGATATTCCATCCACCACCAGCTCAACCTTGAATTGGCTCTTGTTGGCCGTCACTTTCCTGGCAAGCTCACAGGCTCTTGCTTTAATAACTAAAGGGATATTGGCCATAATGAGAGATAATCAGTACTACTGATGATTGACCAGTGTGCATTTTCCCTCCCATGGGTTAGTAATCCATCCACTGTTCCTCTCAAACCTGACCATGATGTTCTATCCACCACCACACAAGTCCTGGAGGCATCTCAGCTTCTCCTTGATCTCCACTGCCCGATCCTCGATCCTATTCTCCAAAGCTACTCCGGACCTTCCTTTTGGTTTCCCCACAGCTCATCCTAGAATTGGCTTCTGTTGGCCAGCACTTTCTTGGTAAGCTCACAGGCTCTCCTTACTTTAATAAGTAAAGGGATCTTGGCCATAATAAGAGATAATCAGTACACTGATGATGATTGGTCAGTGTGCAATTTCCCTCCCACGGGTTAGTAATCCATCCACTGTTCCTCTCAAACCTGACCATGATGTTCTATCCACCACCACACAAGTCCTGGAGGCATCTAAGCTTTTATTTGATCTCCACTGCCCGATCCTCGATCCTATTCTCCAGGGCCACTCAGGACCTTCCTTTCGGTTTCCCCACAGCTCATCCTAGAATTGGCTTCTGTTGGCCGGTACTTTCCTGGCAAGTTCAGGTTTTCATTGCTGTTTGGGTCTTCAATAGGGAGATTTGCCCACTCAGTTTGTTCTGGTGACCATTTGTAACTGAAATTGACGGGAGATCCAACATTTAGAATTTTCAAGTATGAGGTTAGAAGAACCTAATACAAACTTCCATGTGCAATAGAACCAATAAGACTGGCACAACAATATCTCGGGATTTCAAAGTCCACAAATAGGCAACGGGCAGCCAATTAATTTCAAGGGGAAAAGGTCTTCCCTTTCTTTAGGGCTTGGACACGATTTGTAATACAATCAGGATGAGATTACATAGAAATCTTGAATTGAGGCTGGATGGAGGCTAGTGTGTCCTAATGTCATCTATACATCTGGCTGGAACAGACTGGCCTCCATCCAGCCTCAACTGAGGCTTTCTATGTCATTTCATTAGACCAGGTAATAATTGTCCTCCTCTATGTAGTTATCATTATGGGAAATGTGATGACAAGTACAAAGGGTGTGTGATGACAGCATGGATTGCCTTTCTTGTATAGTCTGTCCCCAAAGAACTGACATTTTTATTATTTTTTCAGCTTTTCAACCATGTCTTCCGATAAATGTTATTGTTTTTCTAACCAGGAATCTATCGGAGCCTATTATGACGTATAAGCTGCATCGGGAGCTCGTATCTGCTTCAAGTAAGATAATTAATCTCTGAAAAGTCACCATGTTATGTTGGCAGTACAGACAGAGCCAGGGCGTCCCCAAGGCGTAGGCCCAGCTACAACCTGCTAAACCAGAGGGATAGTGCAACTGGTCAAAGCTGTGCCTCTGCCTGTCACGGGGACAAGGGGCTTGTAGGCAGTTAGTGTCTGATGGGGCCATGGCGGTATAGGCAATTAAAATTGGGTGGTTTCACTGTGCCTATTGCAATCCTTATTGTAAACGGGGGTTTGTTTGAAACAGAGACCAGTCACTAGTGGTGCATCACAATGCTCTGTACTGGTCCCGTTCTGTTTAATCTGTTTGTAAGTCATATAACTGAAGGTTTGGTGGGCAGGGGTTGTCTTTTTGCTGATGACATCAAGTTGTGCCGTAGGGTTGATATTACTGGAGGTGTTCGTAACATGGAACATATATTGGAATTAGAAAAATAATAGTGATAATAATAATAAATAAAATTACAAATATTATTATATAT